ATGAAGAGAATAAAATTCTCTTTAAGACGAAATGCATTGGTATGTGTTATCTTTATTAGTATTGACAATATAGTGTGTTAAACATTGCGCACTGCAAAAAAACATGCTGTTCGAATTAATAATGGTTTGGGCTCGTACACATGTTGGGGAAATTGAGATGACCCATTTGTATCCCATTAAGAAACTCCAATTAAGTAATTTAAATGTATTACCACCCCACGACACCTCGAACCTTGTTTGTGTTTACAAATCAAGTCAATATTGTTGTTGGGGGTATGGGTTAAAGTCTCCCAAAGACAAACACCAAACAATTTAGACCGCACGGCATGTTCAATACCAGGACCTTCGAGGCTTCGTGTCTGCTGTCTGATGACTGATGACTAATGACTAATGCCGCTGACACACTGAACGCACTGTGCGCAATTGCTGGATTCTCCAGTTGGCCAACAGCAAACTGGACACGCCCTTTCCTGCATGCTCACTGGGGCTACCCACTGAAATATTAGTTGTATTACTGCCACTGCGACTCTAAATACATAATATGCTATGCTATGGCTGGTCAATGAAAGGACTTCTGACCACGTGCCACAGAGCTTAAGGTTTCTGTGTAGCCTCTCGATAGCGAGTGTCAAGCACTCACAGGTAGGGAAAACGTGCTACAGCACATGGAAGCACGTGGAATGCGGAGCGTGGAGTGTGCTAAATTCATAAAGTGCACCTTTTTTTGGGGGAATCGTCGGCATTACGTCTGATGGTCTGTGCATAATTAATAAAGAGACATACATCGTTAATGCATATGAAAGAAGAAAGGCAATCGGTGGCTGCCTCATTAGCTGTCTCTAGTGCTGCTGATTTACCCTTTTTTCTGAGCAGATCTCAGCATTTGTTAACTTCTGCAGCCCAGCTTGAATGGGGACAGGGATACGGAACTATTACTCAAAGACTAATTGTAACTTAATTCCAGAGCCACGAAAGCAAACCATACAATCGAGCACAGCTAGCTGCGACCTGTGCTTGGGTCACCTGCTTACCTGCAGCGCGTGCGCAGTGATGAGCTTAGTGACCAAAAACGCCGAAAACTATCCATCATCAAAATATGCTGGCGCTAATGGAGACGCGCCTCATCTGTGGCTGCGACTCACAGACGAATCGCCTGTTGAAGGGCTCCTCGAAAGCTGCAGCGACAACTATAACAGCAGCAGCTGCTGCTACTTATGTTATATTGTTTTGTGCTAGCTCTTTCAGCACAGATCTATATTTAAACGGCCTAATATGGCGCACAGAACTAAGCAGAGTATGCGAAACCTTTGCGCTATTCACGGCCACCGACACCGACAACGGCGTCCTCCTAGTGGACGTGCGACTGTCGAGGTGTAGGTAACTGCGACTGAGCGCGACTCTGAACGGATTTTCAGCTCTTCAAGTTTTTACTGGATGGGTTGGTGGGCTCAGCTCAGCGCTGGTCCCAAAAATGGCGTGCATATATATAGTATTTACATATGTTCTTGAACCACCTGCCAGCTGCTGGACGCATTTACAGTGGCGGGCAACAATATTGAGAGCGAACTCTGAGAACTCTGATGCATACTTGATCCAACCTCATATAGTAAATTATGTTCAAATAAACTAACAAAATTCACACATTTTGTATAACAAATATTATCCATACGCTCATGTCAATCCCAATGCGCAGTCTATAAACTGTTGCATACTGCATTGTCGTTCTTTGTATAATAATATAAATATAATTAAAAGTTTTTTTGGCATTGCAAATATTACGCATACGCACTATACTCAATATGTACTGCACCGACTGTTGCTCAGAGTCGCGTTATTATTTATGGTCGCATGCCGTGAAAAACGACAGTTGGCGACAAGTGTTGTGCAAATGGCATGCACGGTTGCCACAACAACAAAAACATCAACAACAACAGCAACAGCATTAGCAGCAGCAACAACAATCGCACACACAACAAAGGCAGTTGGCGCTCAATTTGATGTGAAACGTGCAGGAACCACACACAGACATACACACCCACACACATATGTATATACTTGTATATAATAGACGAAGGCGAACATACAAAGAGGAAGCTCAATACGAATAACTGTGTTTTTGGCCTCCATTATTACCGTTGAAAAGGGAAAGGCAGCCTGCAAAGCAACAGCAAAATGGCGGCACGAATTGTAACAGGCGCGCAGTGTCAGCAGTAGCAGCAACAGTAGCAGCAGAAATAACGGCATAAACGAAGTCGTTGCTGCTGCTGCTAGCCGAAGGCAAGCCACCCGAAGCAGCTTCGTAGTCGGTTGCCTAACAACTTCGTCGTGGCGCACAACAGAAGGAAGGATAAGCCAAGTCAGCCTGGCCACGCATCCAACCAGCCAAGCAGTCAGCCTGCCTGGCTGCCAGCTAGTCAGCAAGCCAAGCCGGGACTCAGTTGCAACAGCGCAACGCATTTGCCAAGACGCACACAGAACGCGCCGCGGCGCAGCTCGCACGGAACGCGAACATTCAACGACCATAGAAATAGTAACACTTGTATAAATTGTTTTTGCTATTATTTTTGTTGTTGTTGTTGGTGTTATTGTTGTTGGCAGGTGGCCTGGCTACCTTGGCCATCGATCGCACCTTTCTAGTGCGCGCTACCTCGCGTTTGTTCGCGTGCCGGGCTGACGTACATAACGTATACGAGGATAACACTTAGTAGGCAGGGCCGTTGTCCTTGGTATTTCAGTCTAGCGCTTGCAGCGTTAGCCAACGGTAATACCTGCGTGTGCCACAATTAAAAGGCCTGCACAGGTGTGCTGAGTCTGTCACGGTGTGTGTCTATGTATGTGTGTGCGTGTCAATGTGTGTTGGTGAATTCGTGCTTTGGGCATTTTAATACGCGCCTTGGCTAATTGTTATGCAATCGTCTCTAGCCTTAAGACCTAGTGAGAAATGTCTTTGAAGCGTTATGCAATAATCGCGGCGGTCAGTCAGCACCAGCACCAACGGCAGCAGCAGCAGCAGCATCAGCACCAGCAACTACAACTGCAACAACAGCTAAACAATGCAACAGTCATGTCAACAGCAACATCAACAGCGACAACGACAGAGGCAACGGGAGGAGAATCAACAATAACTACAACATCTTTGCCCACGAGCGAGGAAGAGGAGCTGCTGCACTCGCAGGAGCTCGCCAGCAGCTCCTCGATAACGACGTACTACAATGGCGGCATGGGTCTCTATAATCAACAGCGTGGCATTGGAGCTGGCATATCGCTGCTCAACGGCGCCGCTGGCTCTGGGAGCGGAAGTAGCACGGGCAGCGGTTCACAGAGCTACGCTCACGTTGTCAATGGCAGCGTGAATCTCCTGCTTGGCGGGTAAGTGGGGCAGCGTCAGTCAATGGCAATGCCAATGCTGCATTATTCACATCAAATTATTCATCTATGGCACAGTTTGCCATGGCAGCCTGACAGCCACATTTCAACATTAATTAATAAAACGCCGAAGCCCCGACTTTAAACAGGATCATGTTCGATAGAGATGAGTGAAAGTGCTACTGAGTTGAGCCACAGTGGATGGCAGAAATTAGCCACATTTCAACATTAATTAATAAAACGCCGAAGCCCCGACTTTAAACAGGATCATGTTCGATAGAGATGAGTGAAAGTGCTACTGAGTTGAGCCACAGTGGATGGCAGAAATTAGCTGAATACATGTACTATAAAATGAAATGAAATGAAATGGCTTTTTGTAATATATCTAATTGTTCATTATGCTAAACATTCTCTGTATATGAATACTTCATCCTCTCTCAGCTACGAATTCGGCTCCATAGATCATGTAGAAAATGGTTATCCTTATGATTTATGGGACATCTGCAAATTAATACCATAAAACATTCATGCAGCTCTGCAGAGCAACCTCAAGATATTGCGAGGGCTGCTTTTCCCTTCCCACTCCACGCTGGGCACTGACAAAGTAATCATATTCATAATTGGTCCCCTTTTCGTTGTCAGGGAGTGACGTCCGCTTATTTAAATTAATATATCCCTCCTCTTCTTTCTTTTATTGTAACACTAACTCAGATCGGCGTGAGGCCCGATGGAGTGGGTTGAGTAAAAATAAATACTAAAGCGACAACAGCAAACTTTTGATGTCTGCAAACGGCGTACGCTCCGATGACCGTAACTTTATTTTAACTACTTTTTTACACACTTCATCCTCGGTCACGAAGAAAGAAGAGTATATCAGTTTTAAGCCATCAAATCCACAAATAGGGGCGTTTTTAGATTTTCATATACTAAACCAATTGTTGTAGATTAAGATCTAGAGCCAGCAAGCTTTACAGTTGGATCGATCTCATATATAAATTCTCCTGATAGATTCTATGATTCGCGCGGACCTCTAGTGAGTATTCTGCAGTCGATAGGGCTAGACTTTGACGTTTACTACTTATCGATTGTCTGGGAGCATGTCAATAAAATTTAACAAAAATAAAAGCTACACATGCCGATGATAGCTGCTCCTCCCCCTCCTCCTCCTCCACTAAAACTATCGAACGCTTTTTGGGGCCTTTAATGAACGGTTGACATGCGAAAATTGCGTGAGGCGCAGCGGAAAATGAGCAGGGGCTGAGAGAACGAACGAATGAACGAAAGTAAGAGGGGAAAGGTAGCACAAGCACGTCAGAGGACAAAGGGCATTATATTGTGTTTAAAGTGGATTAAGTGACATCATTGATTTGTGTAATGTGTAACAGATTTCAGAGACAGATTAACGAGGTTACTGTGCTGCAGAACTTGTCGCTATCTAGGTTACACAGGCGACTTCAAGAATGCTTTGATAACAAGAAAACCGTTTCTACCCATACCTATATAAATACATTTTCACATCAGTCACATATATGCAATACAGTTGTGGAATGCCTCTTGCTTGCTTTCTATTTGTGGCAAGATGGCATAATTCAACGCGTGAACAATGTGTTGAATAACATTTTGTTTTTGGCAATTATTTAATCTATTTGTAAGCCAATATTGTCGAAATGCCTCCGGGGCGAACACACAAGCCCACAAAATGCTGTAATTCACAATCGATATATGGTTAGCTGTTCGGCAGTCCGCATCAACAAAAGCCACAGCGAATGGCCGCTGTACTCGGGAATACAATGCACACATACACACCCCTATGTATGTATGTATAATACATGGTTGTTAGCAAAGCGTTGTCGACCAAGTTTATGGCTAACATATTCATTTTGGGAAAATTTTGCTCTATTCCTTACAATAGTTCAAGTCCTTAATTTGACTCAACTCGGTGAAATATTTATCTTTCTTTACATGTGACATTATTGTTGCTTGCCTTCTCTATTTTTTGTAGGTCCATGCTTTGCCTGGTGACGACAATTTTGTGTGTTGTCTGTTATTGTTGCCATCGCAATATTAAAAAGCGCACAGAGGCCGCCTACAGGCAGCAGCAACATCAGTGGCTGGAAAACGATCCCAATATGGAAATATACAGCGTTGAACAGGTAAGAATATATATTAAATAATATAGGCTTGGCACTTTCAATATCTTTCTCTCTCTCTCTCAGTTCAATATGAACAAGCATTTCAGCAATGAATAACAAAAAGGGAGTTAGGCAGATACAAAGAGAGAGAGAGAGAGAGAAAATGTGTACTCTAAGCACTTGTGTTTCGTGTTTTTAATTAATTTCTCAATTGATTGAGCAACCGCAACCAGGAGCTAAACAATTTAAATTCGATTCTTTAGTCTTAGCCGCCACACTCAACTCTTATCGAGGACGTTGGTAATGAATATTAATGCAAAGTATTTAACAAACACTACGAGGACGGGAAAAAATCAGAGGGAAATAAATAAATAACAACCAAGGGCCAGTCTGAAATGGACATTCGACTCCACCTTACGGTGTAGCAAACTCTTAATAAACTGTTGGCCTCTGTGTAGGCCACTTTTATTTAGCCGGTCTCAGTGCTTAGATTGTTGTTTGTTGGCCCTGTGGGAAAACGCGCTGGCGCCGACGTCGGCAGCAGAGCGTAAATCAACGTTAGTCCGGTCCATGTCACACAGAGTTGTCAACGGGCGTAAGCGGATGCAGTCCTGGACTGGAAGCTCCACAAATAAATCCATTTATAATTTGTGCAATATCAACTTTTTTATTTGGAGCCCCTTGAAAGAACCCTTTCTTTTTTTTAATAAGTATCTCCTTCTTCTTCTGTTTAAGTGCTATGAAACGTCGGGCCTCTTCTTGGGTGACTCAACTGACGGTTTGGCCACGCTGCCAGCTTTGCACCATGAGCCTCCGCCGTCGTACGACGCAGTCGTGCTGCACGAACAGCAGCTGTTGCAGCAGCAGCAGCAACAGCTCGAAGAACAGCAGCTCCAACTGCAGCAACAGCAGCTGATGCTGCAGCGCGTATCACCGCCGCCCGGCTACCGCTCCACCCTGGACATAAGCAGCGCGCTGCAAGGAATAGAAATATCAAACACCGATGCAATGGCGGGCAGCAGCAGCAGCAGCTGCAGCAACACCAATGCAGCAGCTGCTGGAGCAGGATTAATAGCTGACAAGCAGCTGCAGCGCACCTTGAATGCGCAGTCTTGTTGCTCGCTGCAGCGCGCCGAGGTTGAGAACATGTGGAACGCAGCCGCGGCGGCCGTTGCAGCTCGCAATGGACACTGCCAGGAGTTGGACACATATAGGCCTATGCCTATATCGATGGACATACCGTCACCATCGCCGCCTTTGCCACTGGCGCTGCAGGCGCGCAAGAAAGCTCAGGCGGCCATGCGGCTCAACAGCTTTGGGCGGCGCTATTTGCAGTACACTCAGCACCAGCACCAGCATCAGCATCACCAGCAACAACAACAGCAACAGCACAGCCACTACAGACGCGGCTGTCCGCTGTGCGGGAAATTCCGCTACGCGGCTGAGGACGAGGCGTTGACGGCATCTGTCGAGAGTGTCTTGGAACAGTGTGATGCCAATGAGAATGTGGCAAGTACTCAACACCAGCAACACCAGCAACACCAGCAGCAGCAGCAGCAGCAGCAACAACAACCGCTGCAACCCGCCATCGAAAATCCCAATCAAATTGATGCTGATGCGGCAAATGGAAATGTGGTGGACAGCACAACTAAAGCTGCATCAGCAACTGTTGCTGACATAGACATGGACATAGACGAAAATGACAATGCAGCTGCGACGTCAGCAACAGCCGCACCAACAGCGACATCAACAACGGCAACAGCAGGAGCAGCAGCAGAATCTTCAGAAAAATCAGATGTAGATGCTGCTGACCTGGATATCAACAACATCAATGAGAATGGCTTCATCAGCCTGGACATGAGCAAAATCATTGACATATCGGGCCTGCCCACATACGAGGGCGCGCTGAAGCTCGAATCCAGTGGCTATGTGTAAACAGTTTCCAGTTCTCGGTTCCCACAGTAAAGTTTACACTGCAGAATAACGAAATGATATCACACATGTGCTTTATTTTATAAGATAATATGGAGCGGATGCCCAGAACACGTTTAGCTGTATTTAGTGAATTTCTTAATTTATCATAACAACAATCCTAACGAACTGTTCTGAAGTTCTTCTTAGTTTCAATCATGATCTCGAATTGCGCGACTTTTGTGTCTGTCCCAGAAAACCAAAATGGTTCCTTTTTAGCACACACACATATACATACTAGTACATTAATATTAATATACACACCAATGTAACGCTAGACAGTAGCCTCAAGCGAACATATCCGAGCAGCAAAAGGTTGCAGAAATATCAATAAAAATGTACTTGAACGAATTTAGCCCAATCGAACCTTTTGACAGAACCTTAACCGCAATACTGTTGCTTTCACGCCCATCAAGTTTAATCTGATTGATTTCGCATTAAATATAACGAATGAGTACACCAAGAGTGACATAACGCCTAACAAGCAAAAGGCCAGGGCATTACGGTTAACCGTGAAGTGAAAAGCGCCCTCATACGTTAAAATACCTGTGCAGGTAGTTCTAAGGGGCTAAGGCTAAGGGGCACACGACACGACAGTGATGCCAAAATGGCCTTTTTACAATTTAGCCTTTCATTTATATATACAAGCTGGGTCGACCTAGCCATCTTAGTCTGATCTTACGGAGATACATATCTCTTTTTAAATATTATGAAATAACAGCTGATTAAACTTGAATGTTTACCTTGTTAAACATAACTGGAAGTCTAGTAGAATTCAGATAAATATTAATATATCCAATTAGCATGAATCTGAAAACAAATACCGTTTACACAGAACAGCGAGTAAATTGACTCTGCGCAATGTCTGCTTAGCTGTTTTTTAAAGCTCTACCAAAAATGATTTATCCGTTTTTGTTTTTGGACAGGTAATGAGTATCATAGACTCAGTAGTACCCGATTGTTACGTTCTTACTTGTTTTAAGTGCCTTTTGTCTCGTTTTTCGGTCCCGTTTTTACGATAAGCAGTTGCTAGCACTGGCACACCCACACACACCTCGCACACCCTCAGACACATGTTTTCGGTTTACCTCGTTTTGTTTGGCTCTTGGGGGTAATAAAGAAAATTATGGCTGCAAGCAAATCGCACGTAATACAAAGCCAAGGCTCAAATGTAGAGCTTGGAGCAAATTCAGCCTATTTTGCTCTAAAATTGATAACAAGATACTAGCTAGACACTCGCTATAGTTATTACTATCGTTAATATTATTAGTATTATTTTTGTCGGACTGGCCACTTAGATAACTCAGCTGCCTACTGTAAGGAACTCACCCAGAAGTATAGTCAGTAAAAACAGTGGCCGTGTAATCCAGCGTGTCATAAATGCAATTTGAGACAAAATGTTAAGAGGCTAGAGTTCTGGAATTCAATTTCTCTTAGCAGAATCAGAAGTGGATAGATTAAAGTCATTTCGTGATTGTTTCGCTCATTACGCACGCGAAAGACTAAAAATAGTTTCAACCCAGACAGGCAGCGCCTCCAACCGCAGACGCGTATCTCCGTCTATATGGGCCATTCAATGTGCAGTATGGCTTATGATCTCATTACCCAATAACAAACAATGCTTCTGCTACCTCGGAAGGGGATTATTACCGGCTTACATGGCGTACATATGCGTGGCCCAATTGGCAAATTGCAAATGGCAAACGCCAGGAACAATTGCTCTTTAATTTTGTGTCTTATATTATCGACATTTTAATATTATTTAGTAAGACCTTCCTTCTAGCACATACCGTCGCAACAGCAGCATTTCGATCAGTGAATACACTTAAGAGTTACATGAACAAGTTCTTTGCTTCCATGCTGAAGGCGTGCACGAAATATTAAATTTTTTGTATTAATATATTTTTATCCCGAACGATGAAAACTTGTTGAAAATTCACACACAACATTCAGTTGGAACCCGCGTGGCTTATAATTGCAACTGAGAATGATGCGTTGCCTCGTTGTGGCACAACAAGTGAGGCATCCAAAGAGCCAGTCGCCGCTATTCAAATACAGACTACATCAGAGTGAGAGAGCGAGAGAGTAAAGAGAATGCGAGAGAGAGAAAGAGAGAGCGGGAACTGTGCTAAAAACCTGAGCTAGACAAAATAGAAAAATGTCGAGCCGTGTGACGACATGAGACGCTGCCCTGATGGGAGAAGAAGCGAGAGTGGCAGAGGGAGAGGGAGAGGAAGACAGAGCAGGCGCCGAGGGGTAGCCACAACTAATTGCGCAGCGGCATCGACATCGACAGCCATTTGACCCTTTGTCGTTGGGGTTGACTGTGCATTATTGTAGGCGGGGAGTGCAGAGGTGGCGCTTCCATTTATTAATAAGAATTAACTGGTGAACGAACGTATATAGTTGCATCCTTCGCCGCAGTCTCGTTTGAATTTTTTTATTGCACTCAATTTTTTAATCTAAAATATTATGAGCTAAAAAATATTAATGTTCACTTGGGAGTATGTACGTGTGCGTATGCGTCTGTGTGTGTGTGTCTGATTGAGACTCATCATACCCAACACCCCAATGGGTCCTGAGAGTGAAAACGGCACGTGCTTAAAAATAGCCAGTGGGGTTTCGTGGGAGCAAAGCAATGCGACAAATTAAGTGAGCAACTGAGTGAAAAAACAGAGAAAAGAACGTGTGCTTAACTGTGACGAAATATGGAGACCCTTGCCAATCATAGGTGGTCCCATTTCAGTACGACATTTACAAAAAGAAAACGATCTACTTCTGCACAGATAGATGTCCTATTAATGAACGAAACGGAAACATAATTGAAGGACACCATTTGGGATATGTTCAATTACTAATCTTATAGTGTATATCGATATTTAGATGTGTGAGAGTGAACTGATCAACTTTAAAATGACAACATTCCCATTTTTCAGTGTTCTAAGATTCAAGACTGATAATTAGAAGAGCTGAGCGAACTATAAGAGGTGCATATACATATATATGTAGTATGTGTATAGTATATAGATACATACACACATACATATACGTACATATATTAATAAATTGGCGCTGTTGATATACGAGGTTCGTCTGAAAAGTATTCGACATTTTCGAGTAGCAAACGGAAGCATGTTATCTAAAAGTCGAAAAACTTTAAAAAAAAAATCCGCCAGCTCAACAGTCGCTGAAACCACAGAAGATAAACAAGTGCGGGCATGTTTGTATTTCATATATTATTATGTATATAATAATATATATTCAGATGTATCTGTGTGTATAGGAGCTAGCGACAGGTATAGCTTTTGGTGACGCAAGTGCGCGAGCTACAGCAAACAGCAAACGACAAGCAACAAACAAAAACAAAATCGAAAGCAAATTTCAAATTGCCGAATGAGTTGAGGCCAGAGTTAGGCGAGAAAGGCGTAAACACTCTTGTAGACAGACAAAGTTAGAGCACTTTTTATACTGACCCACAGCTCAATTCGGAATGCTCTTCTCATGTCCTGATTTTGGTCTGTGGCACCGATGGAAAAGCTTCCCCGCTGAGCCACAATCTCCAAGTCGTGTTTTCTGTTTTTGTGGTTGGCTGCAGGCGATGGAGACAGCGCGACAGGTTAAGAGTGCGACGGCGGATGATTGGAGGAGGCTTCACTCACGGCGTTTTTATTCCTTGGTGGTGGTTTTGTGCGTTTACGTGAGGCTGCCACTGCATTGCATATTTCACATTCACATTTTAGTTGATTCTTATTTATTTACACAAATTTCGCAGTCCTCTGCGCTGAGCTCAATTTTACTAGCACTAACAGTTTTACTTTCAACTGTGGGCACTCTAAAATTTGTGTAATTGCTGAAATGTTAACATTGAGTCCGAGTAGCTGCAGTGTGACCACTATTCTGGAAATATCGACGAAATGTAGCACACATAAATATCGATTACAGTCGATTAATACTGTTGCTGTTACTATATTTTCTATTAAACGACCGTTATAGTCTGTGCGCCAGTAAAACGAACATTTACATTTTCCGAGCGTCTATTCAAAGTGTTTTTGACTGCTTATCGAGGGGTGGAGTTTCGTTAACAATTTTGTACAATATGATACTCATTAGTTCTCGATTCAACGAGTTTAACAAGTGCATGCAGACGTTTAAAATATAAATCAAATTATAAATAGTTATATACAATATAAATCCTTGGCTTAGAGGTTAGTTATTTAAATAGTTTCCCATGTAGGAAAGGTCCTCATCCTGTCCACTGTCGCTCTGACGCACAGCCATTGCAGTTTCCACAAGATAATACAGACATTTGTATTTATCGCGCTCCTCGCGACTTAAAGCTGCAAATAATGCCCATTACCATGAGGAGCTTGGGGTAATTGCAATGCCAACGTACCTGAGCGTGGAGGTGTTTCCGGTTGTCTGTTCTCATTCTCTGAGATTGAGACAGTTTCCTCTGGCTCTGGAACACACGAAATGCCGTCATCCGCATTCGAGCTGGTCATAATGGTCGCCTCGGCGCCCAGCATATGATCCAGCAATTGCTGATTGCCTGCAATCGAAGTTGAAGCTGAAGTCAGATAATTTTGTTGAACGAATCGAGTTGACATGCTGACATACCACCACTCTTGACAACCTGTGTGGATACTGAATCACAGCTGACTGCATTGCTGCTGACAGGATTTGTCTTGGTCGTAGTCACTTCTTCGGTGCTGAAAACGGTCCTGCATAGCATTAAGAGCATTAAGGGAGTGGGTAGAGAGCCAGACTCTTTGTTACGGCGCCGAGATGTACTTACTTGATGACACTCTGCCAGTCGTCGGATGTCTCGAAGCGGACTTCTTCCTCGCTGACCTGCTCGCATGACTCGTAGTCGTGGCCGCTCTCCTCGCCCTCCGATCTGTGAATGAGAACGTGCACATTAGAGCCGACCGCCTACAGCAAAGCCCTAATCGAAGCTTATAATTTAAAACTAATGCATGAAGCTACCTAAGCGCCGCCACAAAACCACCAGAGCAATCATCATGTTTAACAAACACTTCTGCTTTGGAAAGATGCACCGACTTCTGTTTTTCTTGCGCTTCGCCTTGTTCTTGACCAATATCCTGCTTAAGAAGTTTGTCTGGTGGCAGAGTATCGGACGTCTTGCTCAACTCGTTCTGACGTTTGCGTCCTCGCTTCCTCGCTGGCTTGTCCTCGTCGAATTCTTTTGACTGCTGCCCATATGGACTATACGACACCATAGAATTGCTAGCGCTGTAGGTGCTGCTGCTGCTGCTCTCACTACTGCTTCCCCTGCTCGTGATACTGGCGGTGCTAACCTCATTTAGAGCTGCCTTGCGCTGTTGGTAGCTCTGTATCTTATCGATTATGGTAGCTTGCAACGAGGAGTGCAGCCTCTGAAAGCCCAGCGGATTGTTTGCGATTGCTTGTTGCCAACTTGTGTTTGGGGAGCAAGTAGGTCAATGATGAAGACAATGCAATCAAATAGGCTACGGAACAATCTACCAGAGCAAGCTGAGTTTTACCTGTAAATCACGCTCTCATCGAACTCCGGCTCCATTTTGACCATCTGGCCGTTGGGCGTGCGCACATATTGATCAAAATTGGTGAGCACATTGGCTATGCCCTCGTGCATTTCAGCGGCACTGTGCACTTCCTCCGTAGCGCCAACAACCTGCACGGGCGACAAGAATATGAAGTGATGTGAAAAACACTCAGATTAACAACAGATAAACAGCTTACTACTTCTGAGGCCGGACTGCCTGTAATTGGATTTGGCGTGCAGTGGAGATTTGAGCCGCTAATCGAGCCTGAAGAGTTGGGGCTTATTTTCTTGCCCCGACGGGAGATGGTGAAATGCAGAGGATCGTTGCCCTCGCGGCGAATCATCTCAGGCAGAATGCGCCGGCGCGCATTGATGAACCAATTGCAGACCTGCAGCACAGTTAAATTGGCCTCTTGCGCCAAGGCGAACTTCTCGGCATCACTGGGATACGCATTGTACCGATGCTCGTAGAGCCAGCGCTTCAAGATCTTGACGGAGTGCTTCGGCAAGTTGCCGCGACGCTTGCGCAGCGAGCCGTTGATATCGATGTGTGTTTCCACGAGCATGTCGTGATAGTTTTGTATTTCCTGCACGGCCTGCTCAGAGTCCTGATCTTCCTCAACAATCTCATCGGCCGAAAGATTGCCTAGTCCGCCCATGGCGTCCGCATGCAGATGGTCCTGGTCGATGCTAGATTCCGAGTTGTACCGTTCACGCCCCGAAACGCCTAAATTAAATTGCGTCAATGCTGGCTCACATTAAGTTTAAGGCATATGTTAGGACTGACCCTCACTTTCCAATAGGTTGGCCTGCACATCCGCTTCGTGCATCATGTCCTGTATATTCCGGCGCACTTGCCGATCCAAAACCAAATCAACTTCATGTTGCTCCGGGGAGATCATCATGATATATACATAAAGCAAGCAAACACCAACAAACAAGCAACAGAAATAAAAAGGAGTACAAACCCAGAATGACTTGCAGCTCCTTAAGAATAGTTTTTTTTTTACACAAAAAAACAAAAACAAAAAAAGATGGGCAATAAATATATCCACTATATATATTTTCAGTTTCCGTATTTTTGTGTTCACAGCACCGGCTTTGAGATTAGACTAACTTTGACTAGACATTTTGTAGCTGCCACAAATTTATCATGGCCTACTGCATAATAATTCATTTTGAAATTTCTCGCCTTCAAAATTTTATGCTATCGAAACGAATCGTTCACCTATCGACAGCACCTCGTATAAGACTTCTTCGCAGACGTGACAGTATAACATGTCAAATTGACATTGCGGACCAGGATTTTTGACAAATCGCTCAATACGCGCGCATAATTCACAAAGCGTAAATACTATAACCGTCACTCGATTTATTATTTTATGTTGAAGTTTTAATGGTTTATTTGGATGGCTTCTAACCTCCCTGGACCAGCTATGCTTGGGTTGCCTGCGGGGCAAAATTAGCTGTATTCGTTAGTATTTGCTGTTGTTGAGACAAACTTTTATTCACTTGTCGCCGTTGCGAGTAATCACTCATCTGCATTATCTTTATATTTACACGAGCTTAGCCACTACAGTTTAGAGTATATTAAAATAGCAATGTTTTGTTTTGCTGCTGTTTTAATTATGTATTTTTTGTGACTTAATATGTACACACTGTCAGTAGCATAAATTTTCACACGCAGCCAACTTCATGTGAGAGCAAAATGTGCGCGCAGCTAACTTCAAGGTGGTCAAAACGTAAATAAAGAATGGTAAACAATGGAAAACAGCGGCGACAAAGTTTCTGTTTTAGATGAACAGCTGTTGTCAAACATAAAAAGCAGTACAGATAAGACCGATAATTATGGCCAGCAAATGGATGTAGAGAATCTGGAAATAGAGCTGAAGACTCCCGTCGAAAATCACGCGGATGGTCATGCCGATCCGCTTCAGGAAACCACTTTAACATCAAATTTTGCTTGGCTCTTTAATGATGAAGACATTCTGCTTAATGATGATGAGCAATTGCCCGATGTGGTTCTGCTGAATCCAGGCAAAAGCCGTGCCAAGCGTGGCCGGCCCCCTCACACCAACAACATCTTTTATTCAAGTAATGGTCGTGTCTGGCACTCGGATATGCAGGCGCCTCCTCAAGAAGAATTGATGGTGCCCAAGCAGATGGCGTGTGGCAAAGGTCCTGCAGGGATAGTTACTAATGCTGTAGAGTCCTGGATGCTGTTGTTCGACGATGACATGCTGCACTTGCTCCTACGCTTGCTCAACGAACGAATACGCCAGCAGCGCTCGCGAAATCCTGCGGAGCGCTTTGTAGATCTCACAGAGCTCCGTTCCTGGCTAGGCTTGAGTTACTTGTGTGGCGTCTTTCGCAATGCACAATATAATGGACCATTGGGTTAGCAATTAGCACATATATAAAATATGCTTACCTTTTATATAACGATTCTTCCAATAGAGGAGCTGTGGACGTTGGAGTTGGGAAATGCAATTTTTCGTGCCACAATGTCGCTGACGCGCTTTGAGTTTATTGCCAATTGCCTCAACTTCCAGGGCGAAAGCAGCTGGAGTGATGCTTTGCGCCTATGGCAGAAGCTGCTCATTAACTGTCGGTCCTATTACGGACCCAGTGGTTGGCTTTGTGTGGATGAGCAGGCTCACTCGGAGAATTTATTTCTGAGCGTATGTTGCGATGCCAAGACGCTCTTCATGACCAATGCCATAGTCAATAAAAAGGAAACGAAGTCCAGCAAGGAGCTGATGCAGCTAATCTGTGACTACAAAACCACAGGCCGTAATATTACGCTGGGCGCGCGCTACGCCAACGTCAGCCAATGCGAGCTATTGCTGGAGTCCAATTTGAGCAGCCTTTGTGCCCTGCCGTCCTGCTCCCTGGACTATCCCAAAGCGTGGTCGGGTGGAGCACTGTCAAGCGGCGCTATGAAACTCACTATGAAATCGGGCGTCGCTGTTCTCGCCTGTGGCTTGAATAGTCAAGTGAATGCTCTGCAAGCACAGCTGCACACTTCCGACAGCTGTATTCATTTCCATGAGCTTTCTAACAGATACAGTACCTCATTTTCGCTTGCGGTTCAAACTAAGCCAGATGTGTTCCTGCAGCTGCTGCATTTGATGCTCAATGTTTCAGCTGTTAATGCGTGGATACTGCTGCGGCTGGCGCCAACTGGCGATGCTAGCATAGATCAACGCGACTTTCAACGTCAGCTGGGACTCTTTTTAACCCAGCAGCGTTTACAGCGGCGCCTGCATCGGCGATCGGCGGCCACAAGTCTCGCAATGCGCTTGCAAATCTGTGAAATTTTGGGCCAATCCAGCCAGCGGCTGCTAAGCGATGCCGCCAACGAAGCCAATCAATCGAATGGAGTGGGGGTCATTAGCTTGTCACGTTCTACGCTACCCGAAGGAGTCGCCCTGGTCAGTCGCTATGGAGACAAGCATCGTCGCTGCAAGCCTTGCGCTCGTAACAAGCGCGAAATCAAAGCGAGATCGCGCTGCCAACAGTGCCAGGCGCATCGCTGTGGTAATCATCTAATCTCACGGTGCTACGAGTGCATGGGTCTGACCACATCACAGGTGCCCGAGGGCAACCTGCGAGACTCTTAAAAATCAAAATTAAATTGCAAAAGCACAGGACAAACAGCTAAAAGCTGCACTATATAATAATAATATTTATGTGAGAAGCTACATATTTTGATAATTTGATTGACGAGATAAATAACATTTATTCAAGTGCTAAACTTATGTGCATATTGCTATATAATGAGTGCAACAGCCTGACCTCTGCTGTTGTCTCATTTTGTGCTCTACAATTACAAACCACGGATGCAACAAAGTGGGGAATACGATTGCCTCTAAAATTTGTACTGGAACGATTTCGTCTTGTACTTGCTGCCCGTCGTACGAGTGTTTGCGGCTGAGTCAAACGGTTCGCTCTGATCAAGGAACAGGCTGAGGAACTGCTCGTTTTGTAGCTCGTTCAATGGCATCTCGAGTTCGCTGCAAGATTTCACGATTTCGGCGCAGGCACGTAGATCCTTACGCAAGTCTGCAAAGTGAAAGCATGTTTAATTTCTATTTTTGCCATTAAGTAAATCAGAGATCAGCGCATACATTGATAGTTGAAGAGCAGGCTGAGGCAATTGGCACACGCACTGCGCTGATTGTGTTGCAAGAATACCTCTATTAGACGGTGCACGGCGTCTATATTGTGCCGGCTCAGGAATGAGGAGCATAACGGACTGGCTCTGAAAGTAATCAATTTGTGAAATTAGGAGCAGCTTGCATTATCATTTGTAAGAGGGTGCGCACCTGCGATCCACCAGTTGTTGCAGCTCCTTGTAGTGTTCGAACAGTTCGCCCGCTGATTTCTGATCGCTAAACCAATCACTGGCGAAACACTGCTTCCACACACAGGCCACAACGAAGATGTCCTTGTGCTCGTGGTGTATGGCGCGAGCGACCTCCATTAGAGAGACGAGAACGGCTTCGCTTTTCTGTGCCAGCGTCTCCTCGACAATGGTACGAAAGGCGACGCGAATCATGCGCCGACCTTCTTCTGTATTGAGGCTTCCGCCATAGCCACGATGCAAGGTCATCAATGCCACATCCGAGTTGCCATTGTGCCACAGAGCAATCGCCTTGAACGGTGCCAAGTCTGAGTATATGGTTGCAAAGGGATGATTCAACTGGCGACAGGTCTCCGCCAGCGATTCCAGCTGCTGCATGCGACCCAAGGAGCTCAAGTACTTTAGGCAGGAGATGAAAACCTCGTTGCAGGGTAACTGCTGCCATCGCACGCATTGCCGAATTAGATAGAGGAAGTCCAGCTTGTTCTTAATCTCCAGCGTGGCCAACAGCAAGTTGTCCAGCTGTGGTTGTGATAGAGATCGTATATCGAGGCCTAGCTGTGGGGAGCGCAGGGCTTTCAGGTCACTCATCATGCCCTTGGACATGAGACCCACGTTCTGGCCAAACGTGCTTCCTCCATAATTGGCCTCCTCGACAGCAGGTTTCATTAGACTCTCGCGCAATTCACCCCATTTCTGTGTCTTACGGTTGACCAGCTCATTGGTGAAGCAATCAATAGCATCCAGTTGAGTGGACGACTTGCGCCGCTGTCGTTGTGATGCTCCCGGCCAGAGAAACGCGCTGAGGTAGTTCTGAAAGCGCTGCAGACCTTTTGGTGAGCCAGGTGCTACTGTTGTTGTGCCGCTGCTGGTCAGGCGCGTTAGCATGGCCATTCCGCAATAGACGCCACTGGCTCAAAATGGGAGACCAGGCACTCACAACAGACTTCGGATTGTATAATTGTATTTTCTGTATTTGTATTTTTTCTTTTCACACGCAGTTGTACCTTGACACTTATCGATATCAATTATCGATAGCTTAGCCTTTAATATATTTACTGCCATTAAAACGTTATATATTTAGAATTTTATGTATTATTTGTATTTCTTTATTAATTTTAATTGGATGAAAAATATATTTGTATTACAGTTATTAGCGCAACTCAGCATACTAATCTATACGATATATATCTGCCCGCTGTCTCAGACGAACGTATAATCTTCACAACTTGACCGCGCTTCAAGCCGAAGTAGCGGGCAACGGGGTCACCTGCCTGGATGCGCATCAACATGTTCTCCTTTAGTTTATATCTGCTGAGTAGTTCTTGTTTGTCCTCCGCTGTCATTACCACATGCTCTGGCACCAGCTCGTGCTCCGTTATATTGATCAGCAGCTCAGACTCCAGAAACTGTTCTAGAATATACTTAGGGGCCATATCCACTAGCGATTGCTTGGCCGAGGGCGTCATGCCGCCCTGCACCACGACGATGGCCCTGTGGATGTTCTCCTCTTGCATGCGGGTGCAGTATGTTTTGATGGTCTTGATGCCAATCTTGGGCTCCTCGGGGAAGAATACAAACATCTGGTCAGTGGGATCGTCATTGTGGGCCACCAACACGATTAAGTCGGACCGCGACGGACGTTTGTCACTCGGCTTGTCGCCAAACATTTCTTTAAACTGCTCCAAAGTCTGGTCCAATTCATCCTGGGTCACAAGGTAGCCTCGGTCGTGGCTCAGTTGCATGATCGTCTTTCGTATACGCCAGAGTTTGTAAGTTTCCGCCTCGTCATCCATTATTTTGGTAGTTTCTATTTAGTTTTTTGTAATTATGCTAAGCACGCCGCTCTAGCGTGAAGTTTTGCCGATTTATTAGTGACCGCACTCGATATATTGCGTGATAAATAAGTGCTGGAGAACGTTCAACGGTCGCGCCTCACCAACACTTTAAGCAACAGGGCCGCGTTGCGCGCGCTCTAGCAAAATTTCAAAAAAGCAGGATGAGCTTAGTTAGTTATCAAGTCGCGTATTGTCTGTCATTATCGACTATGCTGACGTGTTGACACCGCATAAAGTACACACTGTGTTGCCTTTAATATTTTACGTGCACAATTTAATTATGTAGCAGACGCATTACAATAGATGTTCATGCAGCTGTTTTATTCCTCTACATGCCTATACACTAGTATCAAGAAAGAAGACTTGAGCTCAGCGGGCGTGATGCCCAGCATTTCAGGAGTAACATTTCAATTATGTACAGGGTATCTTATGGCAGCTTCGAAGGCGGAGAATTGATAAGGGGCTTAAAATAATTTGAAATATCATCGTATGACTTTCGCATTGGGGTTTCCTGAGCTCACGTCCTATGTCAACGCGAATGACTGACAGTTTATCTAATAGAAAATTTTCTGCACGTTGAGTTTTTAAGACACACATAGTTTCCCCCCATTGACAAATTGTGCGGAAAATGTGAAAATGGATATGAATATTCATGAATTTTGCATTTTTAATAGCAGTGCATATGATATTGCATCTAACCAGTGTTGCCTGCTGTTGAGCTCCAAAATAAGTTGGCTTGTCGATAAATGTAGGCTAAAAGAGGCAAACAAGGAAAAACCTCCGAAAAGTAAAGAAAATTTTATTAGTTTACACAAAAGTACAATATTTCTTCTAAGTATTCACTTCACTTTATTGCACTGCACGACTGACTGACCTCACCATGCTTGGACGACTGAAGAAATGCTGCGCTGCTGCCTTTTATATAGGGCGACTTTCACTCAGACGCTAAGGCACACTCAGATGTTGAGCCCGACGGCAGGTAGGGATCGTTGTAGTCGTGCTTAAAGAGACCAATGGGAACACTCTCTGCGACTACAAGCATTCTAACTTCGTTTTACTCAAATATTAATACCAAATGAGTACTGCTGCATACATATACACAACTTAAATGATCGCATGTTGTTCTTCTTTGTCAGAGAGACAGATGGAGAGACAGACAGAGAGAACTATATACAGACAGACATACGGATATATACATACATGTATAGGCAATCAAACGTGTATAGTAGTAAAATCAGATTACCTCATTACACTGTTTTTGTATATGTATGCTTAATAGGGCTAAATGTTGATATGATAAAGAGCTTTTTAACATAATAACATAATATCAATAATTATTAGATGGCGTAGACAGAGGTTTCTTCTGTTCTATAGTTCTCTTAAGGACTAGGACTTCTGCATACTATGCCTCAGTTTTTGACTATTCTATACTCCTTTTCAAAGGATTTATTGTCAGTAGGCTATACGACGTTTAAATAGGTTAGATCCAGCCGAAAATGGGCTAAGCTGGCAACACTGCCTTTAACATCAGCAACAAAATAACGAGAGCAAAGAAGTTCTAATGCATTTAAGCCACTTTGACCATATGGTTGCCAACGCACAGAAAACAATAAGCTTTTCTATATATACCAATGTACATATATATAGTATAAAGGTTTGCAAGAAATTCAAATCTAATAAAAATCCACTTTGTGAAAGTATGAAAAATGACGATGAATTTCATTATAAATGCAAAAATTATTGTGGGCAACGAGATAAAAGGGCTGCTAAGCGCGCCCTGTGGCCGCGTCGTCATCATCGTCATCTTCTTTATCAGCATCAGCGCTGGACAGCTTCAGTAAATCTGATCAAAATCATTGATGCGCAAAGCATGAGGAAGTAGCTGCAGCGAAACGTGGGGCTTGGGTGCGTGGAGCGCGAACGTCGAACGTGGTGCATCTTTCAGTCGCGCAAAGTTTCAGCTAAGCTGTTGATAACATTGATGATAATAGCGGGAGGAGTGCGGGAGCTCTGTGGGGAAGGAGAAAGATAACCGCAGCGATAATAGGTGAAGCCACAGTCAGGTAAACCGTAGCCAACGATGGGGCGAGAGAGATAGAGGACAGCAGTTGAGGTGCGTGCGCTGCATTAAGAAATTTTGCTTTGAGGTAAAATTTATTTTGATGCCCTGCACAATGGATCCACGCCAACTTATTATTTAAACTTACTATTAAAAGTATTTTATTACCCATCAAACTTCCCTTAATAATATTGATTAGAATTATTTAGGAATTAGGTTAATTGAAAACTCATTGCGGTCACAAAATGTGTGATTCAATATTTGATAGAGAGAGTATCTTCGAGTCGACTCCATTTGCTCCTACGCCCGTTCGTTTTGCTTCAGCGACAGTAGGTGATGAGGGCAGAATAATTTCATAGGATTGAACGTGGCGAAGAATGCATAATTATTAGCGTCTGTGTCCATTGACATTGAGCTAGGCAAATTATGGCAACTGTCGCGGCGGATCCGCTGAAGGAAAAAAAAGAGAGAAAAAACAAACATAATCTAAGCGCTTCAGTGTTCCAGCCCGCTCTGCTTCCATCCATCTGTTTGGATTCGGAACTGGCACGCAATTATTTGTATAGGAATTTAAATTGAATGTCAGTCTGTTTGTCTCCGTAGAAAAAACAGCAACGACAGACAGACAGACAGACACTCCAGCACATTGGCAGAGCAAGACTCGAGCGAGGAGAGTCGAAGTCGAAGTCATCTGCGAGACTCCTTGGAGCACACATATGTGTGTGGGCGGGTGAGTGTGCGTGTGTGTGCGCGAGTATGTGTAGAAGATGTTCTCCTGTTTCGTCTGCTGTAAAATTCCAAATTTGTTTTATTTGATTTCTGTGCTGCTGCTACTGCTGCTGCTGCTTCGCTCGTTTTCTTGCTCTGCTGCTGCATATTTCCCTTTTTATGCAAAATATATGCTATAAATGCCACGCCCACCCACCTACGTCTCGCCCAATCTGCCGCCTGGGCCGCCTTTATTTGAATATCGTGTCACATGTCGCACGCAGTTAGTAGTTGCCGCCTGTCCGCCGTCCGTCGCCCGCTGTCCGTACGTCCCATTCCGTTCCGTTCCGTTCCGTTCGTTGTTATTGTAATTGTTGTGAATGTCGCCAGCGACAATATCACATTTGCATATTTTTGTGCAAACACACGGCGACCCCTGCTCTCCTTCCAGCCTCTCTCAGACTCAGCAGCAGCCTGGCCCCTACGCCATGGTCCGCCCACTCCATGTGCGCCTCCCTGTGTGCATTTTTACTTAATTTTATTTGTATTGGATTTGCGCTGATGTCTCCTTGAAGCCCACTTCTGCAAACTGCTGCTGCTGCTGGCGCTTTAGCTGTCGCTGCTGATACTGCTGCTGCGGCGTTTTGGAATTTTGCAATTTTCACAATAAATTTTAATTCAATTTACTGTTAAGTTCACACAACTAAAAGCGGACGCGGAAGTGCACATTCTGGCATGACAATCGTCCTCCTCTCGGCAGCTCCAACTCCCGACATCCTGCATCCTGCAGCTGGAATTGAAATTTGAGAGCTGCAGAGCTGGTTATCTAGATACAAGATACAGTGCAAGCTGCCATTGTGAAACCCTTTAGCTTGTCGCTAAGCCAGCAACTACAATTGATCTTGACGAAAGTCAATCTCTGCTTGAATGAACTTTCTGATTTGCTCTCTTCTCTGTGCTCTATCAGTTCTTCACCCTGGTAATGTACTGTACTGTATTGATAGAAAAGAACAGAAATATTAATGCATCTTAAGAATAGATGTGATATATACTTAAACTGTCATCAAGTTGGACTGATCCACCACTTCGACTCATCCCTTTGACTTTCTCTTCAAGACAACTGCCTGCCTAACGAAAACATTGTATGATATACTTAGATGTGGTCTCAATCTTTCCTTCTTAGTGTCTCTATGCGTCAGCTTCTTTCTCCATTCTTTCATATGTCTTACGTAAAGCAAATCGTTTGAAGATGCTTAGTTAGATTGTTGTCTTCCCCCCTCTCTCTTTTATAATTTATGCCTTTGTATAACTTGATACAGTTCTGCTGTAGCCGGTAAGTACCGTAATGTTGCTTTGCAAACTATTGTAAGTTGTGTGCTCTGGCTCTGGCTCTGGATTCGGCTATGTCTGCCTCTGTATTCGCTTCTGCCTTAAACTCTGCCCTTGCCTCTGCTTCTGAATTGGCAAATGTCGCTGGCTACGCTGCAGAGTATGCAATAATTTGCGCATATTATGGTAATGGCCGTCGCGCATGTGCAGCAGTTGGGACTTTGATTGTGGAGCTAAGCTCACTGATTAGCTTAAAGTGAATTGAATGTGTGCGGGGCGGTGGGGCTGGGGTGGGGTCTGAGCAGAGACGACACTTTCGACTACAGACTACACTCATTTGAATTTGTTATCAAAATTTGTTATTCACCATTGGTTTAGTTTTACGGGTTTCGTACGGCTCAGATAATTGGCTCCAATGGCCAAACCAGGGCAGCCGGACTCGGAGGGACCCCAGCCGCCAGCGCCGTCTATTCTGTGAGTAGTTGTTGGGTTTCGCGAAGAGCTCGGCCTTAATTAAATCTTGAAACGTGCCTGCAGCGGCTTACCGAACAGCCCGTCTAGATCATCGCTTTACATCTACAATCCCTACGAGAAACGCACTGTTGAGGTACCCCTAACGTAAGTGACTCGTCGGGAAGCGTTGCCCGTTAAGAATCGAGAATTTAGCAGCTAGCACTGGTGCTGATTCAACATCTGATCCCACAGCAACTTTGATGCATTTGTCTCGCTGCTGAAGTGCGTGGTTGGCACCGGCATTCTGGCCATGCCGCTGGCCATGCGCTACGCTGGCATCGTGTCCGGCGTGCTGCTCTCCGTTCTGTTAATGGTCCTCCTTACCTACTGCATTCACTTGCTGGTGAGTCTCTGCAGTTGCCTGCCCTGCTGCCCTTGCGCGGTCCAAATCGCAATTATTTGCATTTAGCCTTCCCAAACAGATCACTGGCATGACAGAGTGCTGTCGACGCATCCACGTGCCGCAGGTGTCCATGCCACAGGCCGTGCAGATTGCTTACGAACTGGGGCCGGCCTGTGTGCATTGCTTTGCCCGCGCCGCCGGCATTTCGACCAGCTGTGTTTTGGTTTTTGGCCAGTTTGGCCTCTGCTGCGTTTACATTGTGTTTGTCTCAAAGAACTTTAAGGAAATCGGCGACTTCTACTTCAAGGACTACCACGAGCGCTACTACGTTCTCGGCGTCTGTATGCTGCAGCTGCCCTTCTTTATGATACGTAAACTGAAGTTTTTGGTTCCGCTGAACCTCGTCTCGAATATTCTGCTCTATGCCGGATTCTTGTGCATCATGTATTACTTGTTTCAGGGCCTGCCCAGCTTACAGGATCGCGAAATGTTCAAGCCACCCCAGGACTATATGATGTTCTTCGGCATCGCCGCCTTCTCCCTCACAGCCGTCGGCTCAGTGCGTACAACAGAGAATCTTTCCTAATTGACTCTAAATAACGTATACGTCTAGATGCTGGTCGTGGAGGCCAACATGGCACATCCAGAGAGCTACCTGGGTTTTTTTGGTGTCCTCAATCTAGCCGTCTTCTTCATACTTTGCTCGAATCTTTTTTTTGGAATCATGGGCTATTGGCGTTATGGCGAGCAAGTGGAGGCTAGTATTACGCTCAATATTCCACAGAGCGAAGTGTAAGTGGCTGTCCCATTCCACAGATATAATACCTATTCTGCTGCTTAACTCCTCCTCTTCTCTTGCAAGTCTCTCACAGTTCATCAAGGTGGCCATCGCGTGTGGCATTTTCTTGAGTTACCCGTTGAACGGGTTCGTGTTCATAACTATTGTCTTCAGCGACTACGGCGATAATGCAGTTGAGCACAAGTGCCGTACTACGGCGGAGATTTTAGTTCGCCTCTCGTTCCTTCTCCTAACAGGTAGGTGCAGCAGTAGAAGGTCCGACTTTTCACATCATCTTCTTCCTGTTTTTCCCTCTTGCAGGTATCGTGGCTGCTGTGGTGCCCAATCTAGCAGCCCTGACCGAGCTGGAAGGCGCATTTTCCCTCTGCAATTTAAACCTGCTCTGTCCTGCGCTGATCGACATATTTGTGAACTATGAGACGGGCTATGGTCGTCTACGCTGGAAGCTCATACGCGACATTCTCCTAATAATAATCGGCGTTGTCTTCGGCGTTGTGGGCTGCACTGTGGCCATACAGCAGCTGGTGGCTGATCTGTCGGCAAAGCCTCCTGGGCACGGCGAAAGCTGACGACGCCAACTTCCGCCCGCTGCACTTAACAGTTAAACCCTTGGCTATCTATTTAAGCAGGCTTTACATTTACATTATTTGCAGCAGTTGTTGCTGCTGCTGCTGCTGCTGGTGCTGCTGTTGCTACTGCTGTTAGTTGTCTGCTAAGCTTTGTTGAGTTTTAATTAATTGCCCGGGCAAGTGTTTAGTCGGCTGTTGTTCATCCCAGCTAAGCCAGTGACCAGGATTTGTGTATGTTCGACTAGAATTTGCTGCCACTTCAGATGCTCTACGTTTTCCGTAAATCGCTATCTTTGTGTTATAACAGATAGTTTAAATATCGTAAATTATTGGCTAGTTGAAATTAATGTTATAATAGATGACGATAGTCTAGTAGGTATACTTGAGTGAGTGGAATAGATTCGTAGATCTGTGAAACGTATGTGTAGGGTATTTCAGAGTCGGGCATTCACACTTTACATATGATATCGATTGTTGGTGGCATTAATTAGGCGCTGCCCCGGCTGCACGTAAGCTGATCAACTGCGCAAATCATTTTAAATGAAACGAGCTGTAATCAAATGCAGTCAGTCAGTCAGGCAGACAGACGGACAGAAGGCCACGGACAGACGACAGCCACAACAATTGCGCCGAGTCCTTTGCGATTCTAAAATTGAATTCCTTGCCTCAGCGGAGCCCAAACACAGAACTTGCTTGCCAAAGTTCGTTGGTAGCTGTTGTGGCCCCAGCACAATAAACTAAAAGACAAATACAAATACAAACACAAATGCGCCGAGACGTCCTGCCGTTCCATTGCCGGCTACCCAGCTACAGCAAATATATACAAACATACATATATAAATAGGCATAGCTAAAGCAACTGCAACTGCAACGGCAACTGCCGACGTCGACGCCGACGCCGAAACCGATGCTGATGCTGATGCCGATGCCGACGCCGACGCCGACGCCGACGCCGACGCCGACTGTTGACTGTGGCAGTGTAAATAGCAAAATACAATAAAAAAAAAAACACAAATAAAAAATAGTAAAACAAAAAGAATGCAAGTAGAAAAGGCATGATGCGAAAATAGTAAAGCAGCTCCTCAAGGAACTGCACGACGACGATTGCGACCACTGCAGCAAACACACAAAACACAATTTCCATTCTTCAAATAGGAATACAAAACGACAACAAAATAAACGAACGAATAAAAAGAAGGAAGAAATCTTGCAACTGCCTGCGACAGGGCTCGCGTAGAAGAAGGGGGCAAAAAAGGAAGAATGAGAGAGGGAGAGGGAGCGCAACAAAGGCCGAGGCTGTTGTCCTCGGGCATGATTTTTGCAGACATGTTGCTTAAAACTTAATTTACAATCGCTGCGCAGTGGCCCTTCTCAGCCAGCCAGAGAAAATCAGCTAAGCAAGCGCCAACCAAAATGAGATCCAGCCTAGGCTGAGGCTGTACGACACAGCTGCGACCAGGATACCAAAATTTGCTAGCGGCGGCCCGTTACAAATAATTTTCGTATATAATTTCGTGGGGCTTTGCCCACAGAAGAGAAAAAAAAACTGAAATGGCAAGTAGTAGGTTTCTTTTGCCTGGTTGTCAGTACAGCATCATGTTAGTGTCATTATCAAACAATTGCGCGCTGCGAAGTCAGCTAAAGAATGCCACAGTGAGTCAGTCAGCCAGTCGGCCAGACAGCCAGACAGACAGTTTGCACTGTCTTCTACTTCGTTTACGTCACTGGGATCTCTCACATGGCCGTCGGTAAGTTGTCGCGCTGTCTCACATGGCGGCCCGCAAACAATGCGTGCCACAACTTCATTTTGTGGAGAGTTTTGGAGTTGTGGAGCTGTAGAAGCTAGAGCCCCGCCAGCATATACTCGTCTACTATGTGACAGCCTTTCGTTTCGCAAATGGAAAAATTCCAATTTTAATGCAATTATTCGAGAACAGAATAGGACAATATGTACACAAATTGCGACATTCGTAGATATCTAAGCACTCATTTGCTTGATTGCATTTTAAAACGCTTAGTATTTAAATATGTGTGCTGCAACACAAAGTCAGAGCTACATGAGAAAAGGGCATACGGAGAGAAGTAGGAATAAATGTACTTTTGATCCCGTTACACAGCCGCTGCAGACACTGCATTCAGTGTTGCCTACTCTTCAGCGCCAAATGAAAGCCAAGCATATATGTGTATTTCATATAAATATAGCTAATAATAGCTATAATTCCCACAAGGCTCTATGTCACGTTCGATATTTCTTCAACGCGAAAACAGGCTGAAAATCGCCAAATTGGCAAATCTGATGGAAGGCTGAGCGTAGGAAGAATGGATAATTGGGCGCAGGAGTAGAAAGGATCAGTTATGCGCGGACGACAGAGTCAGACGGTCGGTTGTTTTAGTGCTCAGTTTTGTATGTAAAGCAGATACCGAAAGTGTTTTTTTTTTTCTCTTTTTTTTCTGTAAATTCATATTCGCTTCGTATAAATCAATCAATTTTCAAATACGTGGTCTTTGTGTTTAATAGTGAAAGCCTCTCATTCGCATTAGTGCCGTGTTTAAGTAAATGAATTTATTTGCAATGTGATTATCGAGCTGGTGAAAAATCTCAGTGCTTCTGATCCCGTTATATTTCAGTCTAGTGTGAGTGTGAAAGCTAGTGCCGAAATGAGAAATGTCTCGTCGATTGTTCTAGACGGTCGTTCGTTTTGGCGGTCAGTTTTACACATTGCTTTGAGAGTCGGTCGCGAATGTTGCTCTCTTCGTGTTTATGTGTTAGTTTTGTGATCTTAGTTGCGCATATATGCATATGTATTGCTTTGCAAATAGTGTAAAGGCGAAATTGCCCGCTCTTTTTTTTTTTTTTTCTTTTTTTCTTATGTGAATTGGCGCGCAGCTTGGCGGTCAAGTGCTGTGAGTGTGTTTCAGCTGCGCTGCGTGTTACGCGGAAAGCTTTCTCGCAAAAAGTGAATGCTGTAAATCGTGAATGCTGTAAATGTTTGTGCTCTAATGAAAAGCTGTTTAAAATTTGGTAAGCATCATCTTGCAGTTCTACATTTACATATTTATGCTTTTTCTATATAAATAAAATATATATAGAGAGTGAGAGTATTAGTGTGAATGTGAAAGCTATTGCCGAAATGAGAAATGTCTCGTCGATTGTTCTAGACGGTCGTTCGTTTTGGCGGTCAGTTTTACACATTGCTTTGAGAGTCGGTCGCGAATGTTGCTCTCTTCGTGTTTATGTGTTAGTTTTGTGATCTTAGTTGCGCATATATGCATATGTATTGCTTTGCAAATAGTGTAAAGGCGAAATTGCCCGCTCTTTTTTTTTTTTTTTCTTTTTTTCTTATGTGAATTGGCGCGCAGCTTGGCGGTCAAGTGCTGTGAGTGTGTTTCAGCTGCGCTGCGTGTTACGCGGAAAGCTTTCTCGCAAAAAGTGAATGCTGTAAATCGGAGAGCAGTTACAAAATGAAAGTATAATATATAATGAAATACGGCTGCATTATGCGTGTGCTTGAGTATGTTTGTGCTCCAATGAAAAGCTGTTTAAAATTTGGTAAGCATCATTTGCAGTTCTACATTTACATACTTATGCTTTTTCTTTATAAATAAAATATATTTGTTTGAACTACATCTTTGTAGAGATAAATCTTAGTAAAAGGGTATTTTTGATTCGACTCTCGTTTAGTCAGATATTTGTTCTAAATCCAATACTTCCACTTAACAAAGAGAAACGTACGAAAAAATAAAGCTGGAAAATTCAATGAACAAAGGGAAAAGTCAGTCTAACACTTATTGCCATGCATGTAGTTCTACGCCCCCAACCCTTCATTACTGCTAAATAAGTATTTATATATGTGGTTACCTCACGCTTTGTCAACCGACTTTGGCACGTTTCATTTTTGCCTTCCAACATTTATTTGCTTGGCTTGCAAGGCCACGTCGACGTTCCGTTGATGTCTGATGTCTGATGCCTGATACCCGATGCCTTGTGCTGAGGCATGTCATACTTGCTCGTATTTGGTTTGGCCACACATTCTATGGCTGTGTGGGATTTGGCTTTGGTTTGCTTCGTTCTTGATTTCAGTCTCCGACAAGTGAAAGCGCCTAAATGCGGCTGAGGATGTGTTTTGCATGCTGAGGGGATTTTAAATTACACACAACGTTCCAACAATGGTCAAAAATGGTTGGGGAGAAGTAAATTAAATTGAAAGCGCCGCAGAAAATTGTCACAGTGCAGAGAAAGAGAGAATCTTAGAGTTATTTGAAGTATTTACTTATTTATTTCTTATTCAATGAAATTTACTTGAGAATTTTCCAAGCAGCAGCAGAAAGAAACTGCCTCGAGTCACATACTCGCTGTATTCCTTTTTAGCTATTTTCCATTTTTTTTTTTTCATTTTTTTTTCCCCTTATTTATTTATTTATTTTTATTTTATTTTATTTTATCTATTTTTTTTTTGACTGAAGAGTGGAGAGGGGCTGGACATGTGCAATTTGAATTGTGCAGGCTATCCGAGCTCTCGGGGTCTACTGACATGGAGTAATGCTGGTATGCAAGCTTGAATCGCTGGATTTGCTCACAGTCATTCATCTTGACGAGTTTGTCTCTGGCATTTGCTTTTGTTTTGCGGCATGCGAATTGTAGATTTTTCAACCAAAATGCTTTGGCATTAGACTATCAGGAGATAATGCAAATACAAAAGGGCGCGCAGAGAAGGCTTTACCCAGAATACCAAACAACCGGTCAACAATGTGCCCGAGCATAAGATGGCATTATGCAACAAATATGTGCAGAGCGTAATGGATACAAAACAAGAGAACGGGATGGCGGGCAACCCTGGTCCAGGTCCAGGTCCAGGTCCAAGGCTCGTGCCTTGCGGCCAAGCTGGGGTAGATCGTTGTGGCTAACACATTAGAATGACTTCGAGCGGTGCAAAACTGTATTGAATTTCAGAGCTTACAAAAACGGTTGCAGAGCCAGAGCAGTCGGAAAATCACTTTACTCAATGTGGACGGTATGGACTGTATGCACTGGTGCCCTGTTAACTTATTTGCATCGCCGAGGGGCAGTGGGTAGGCAGGCAGACATGTGCATGTGCACGTGCATCTTAAAGATATATTGTAACAAAAACTGCTCGCAATTACCAACTACAGTGGCAGGAACAAAGAGGAAATTAACTGGGCACGCAACTAATTAAGTGTGTGAATTCCAATCAACTCGAGGCAACTCTTGCAGCTCTGGCTGCTCTCGGTCCTGCCTATCTCTCTCTCGTCATGGGCTGTTTGTTGCCTCGTCTAATGAAC